ATATTTCATGTGAAATTGGCTGAAAAATGTCGATTGTGTTGAAATTTGAAAGAGGAAGAAGCTTGGAGAGATCACCGTTGTTAAACAGAATCGATAAGAAGGCTCGTGAAATATTTGAGGAGAGAATCATAGAGTTCGAAATTTCAGAGTGCAAGGCAGCTGTTTTTGGTTTTCCTTCTATCGATCTCCAAATATCATTGCACTTTTGCAAGTTCGTAACAATTTTCTTAATCAGAGCGCACTTCGATTATCGAATTATTCGATACTCCTCGACCTTTCGGTACAGTGAACTCAATGTCATAATCGTTGGCTCACCGAGATCATTAATCTCCATTGAGACTAATCGCGAGAGAATTCACGCGAATTTAAGCTTGCATCATTTATCGGTAATAGAAAGATTATATGTTTTATTAATCTCAGTTTCGTTTATACTTCGATAAAAATACATAACAATAGAGAGCACATTTTCTTAACATTGTATTAACGATTGTTGGCAAAGTATCATTATGAAATTTTAAGTTTGAATATCGCGAAGTAGCTGTAATAAACACACGACAGACTTTCGAGCAGAAGATTCACGATTATTCATCAATGATTTATGAGATACCGATCATTGTAATTATTCTAGAATTGCAGATTTTGCATGAATATAAAACAACAAGAGATAGCACTTCCAACGATGTTGGAATTAAATTAGAAAATTTCGGTTTCGTAACATTTTGTATGTATAAAATTAATATTCAGCGAAAGATTTAAAACGACGTTCGTCACCAATTTTTATTCCTGAAGTAAAAGCTTTTTCCAATATGTTTGGACAGGCATAGCGATCGGTCCGTCCTTCTCTCATTCAGCCGATATATTTATATTTCGTCTGTCGGCTAGCTTTGTTTTCGACTGTCACATGTGTCACAAATGTCTGGTATTTCATTATCAGACTTTTGTTCCTTCCTTTTAACGAGTCGGCTTTATATTCTTCGCATAATACTTGTCACACAACAACAAAAAATACAAATTCTTCACTTTTTCGGTAATAACACGTTTAAATAACTATTCAATTTATTATTTATCTAAAACTATTCGATTTATTATTTACCACGCAAATTCATTTGGTGCGTCCAGTGTATTTGACAGAAGATTTTTATGGGAAATCTAAGAATACAGAAATCTAGAAAATGGACATGATATTCGATAATATATAAAATATCAAAATACGTATATACGTATGAAATGAATTTCTGCTGCGCTCCATTTCCTCAGACGTGTTCGTAAAGATATGAAATTGTATAAAAATCAGCCTCAGTCTAATAACGCGCGTCGCAAAATTTCATTGTAACAGTGACGTCGAGTACTTGAAAGATTCGTCGAATTTTCCTCTGACGGCTGGTCATTCTTTCCGTTATGGTCATCGTTACATCGTCACATCGACACACGGTGTCTATTTAAAATTAGCTTGATTTCCGTACCAAGGTCAGGATTCTAGCGGTTTCACGCGACGTACAAACAATTTACGCTATTATCAAGCATTCTGTTTGTTAACTTAATTATACGACTGACAAATATGCTAATGACACGAATCACGAGTCGAAATAACATCCTGTTTCACCTCTGATCCGCGCTATGTGTGTATATATATATATATATATATATATGCAACTGCGTATTCGTTGTGCGTACACGTTTCTTTGCTTGTAAATATCGAATCACGCGTGTTCTCGTGTCTGCTGGCTTCCCGATGAAAATGCACTCGGCAAATATCGAGTAAAAACTCAAACGGAGCCTGTCTGATAACGAAAGTTTTTAGCCAGAAACAAATATCGTCGCGCTGTTTGCCTTTTAAACTTCGCGCTCAGACATTGGTGGATCTGGTTCACTGGTAAGATTCGCTTTAATTTCGCTATATCGCGAGATGGTGCGCTCTGAATGGAGCCGCTCTGTCGTCAGAGCGTCTTCTCTTTTGTGTTGAAACTGCCTAAGTCGTTTTACAGAACGTATTGAACAATCTATAATCTTTTGATGGGCCTGTAACGCCGTATAATTCCTCGGATTATCAATGGGACGATGAAATCGGTTGATGACGATGTAACGTTATCTGCGTCTAGGCACACCGAGGATTTCTATAATTAATAAATTACCATAGATTTCTATCCTTTTAGTCGTACTTAGAAAAAATACATTTATATAAATAGCCTGTTCAGTAATGTCGGTGAACTTTTATTAGTAATATTTGAACTTGATGGATAGAAATTAATGACGAATGTATGTACCAGCCAGCTTCTTGTGGAGTCAGTAGATTAG